GCAGCTTCATCTAGTTTATCTTGTAGCAATGTTGCTTCCTGCACGTTTGGAGGGATGGACAAAACGTCGGATAGGACACAAATTTTGTCTTGTCCCATCGTATCCCACGTTTGGGATGCCCAAAGGATGGGATACTTCATATCCTATGTTTTATCCAATCCCATCGTCCTTCAATAAAAAATATCCCATCACCCCCATGGGATTAAGTAGGATAAGATTGTCTTTTACTTTTTGTCCTCTCATTGTCTTCTCCCAAAATTCATTCTCTCCCTCTAATTTTCTCTCCTCTTTTGATTCCGGTTAGGAAGTCCATCGACGCAAGACGTCGACCTTCTCAAATCCCTTGCTAAAGATGAAATCATTGTTAGGAATTGAAAAACGAGTGCCAAAAGATAGTTGAACTCCAATTGGATTTTGTGTTTGGCATTAGAGAGCTGATAGAAACCCAGATCTAAGATGAGACAGCGTCGAAGAAGGAAAGAACTTCATTGATTGGCTACCTTGATGTTGGAAAACCATTTGAAATTTTTACGAATGATCTTTTTTTAAATGCCAACATCTTCGTCGATGTGGTGGGCATAGTTTCCGATGGTTGCCATTGATGAATTCATATCATTCATTTTAAAATTTTTATCTCCCATTAATTTCATGGAATCTCACTATTTTTTTTTTTTGTGTGTTAATTTTCTTTGAATTTGTAGGGAACAAAACGACTAGTTTTTCTAGAGAGGAAAAGAAAATGGAAGAAAATGGAGAGACAAGTGTAGTGGTCAACATCATGTGCAGATAGAGGTGTTTGGGGCATGGGAAAATGAAAAGGAAAATGCTGGAAACGAAGAGAAAAATGCAAGCAAAATTTGAAACAATTTATTAGTATGCTTTTTCAAGACAAAAAAAAGTACGTTTTTGTCTTTTTTTTAATAAGAAATTGAATTTTATATATAGGAAATTAAATTGTAATATTAGGGGTATTTTTGATAACATAGTAAATATTTTTATCCAATCTTATTTTTATCCGATAATTAACCAAACATGTTATTGGATTGTAATATGACCTATCCTTTCCAATCCTATCTAATTTTATCCTTTAAATTATATCATATCCAATCCAATCTTATACACCAAACGTGCTGTAAGAGTTTTCTTGAGGATCAAGGGTATTGAGCTTAGAGTAGAGGGCTTTCTTCTATTTCTCTATATGATTTTCCTGTCAAGGCGCTAGCTGTAGGGTTGTTCCTATTAAGGGAAATAAATCTCCTCCCTGATTTCTAGATTCTAAGGTTCTTTGAGTTGTAATTGTGTATGTATGTATATATATATATATATATTATATATACAGTGGCGGAACAAAGAATTTTAGTGAGGGGAGTCAGATTTTCAAGTCTCAAAATAATACATTTTAATTTCAAAAGCTTACTCTTTTTTTTGAATAGAAAAAAAAATATTTATTAATAAATGGAGTACAAAGGGTACCCCAAACTTATAAATATCATAACTTGAAAGGCATTGTATTACATGTGTGAAATAGCCATTCCTATGGTGTCGACCCCTTAATTATGTGTCAACACCACGTCCGTATCGGAGCTTTGGATGCTTACCATATGGTGTCGACACGAAAATTATATGTTGATACTATACCCGTGTCGGATTTCTGTCCTCTTTTGCAATTTCTTCATATAAGCCCATCAATGTTAATCTCATCTTTCAGATCATTTCTCTATTGTATGGTCTTTGTCAAATGTCTACCCTCTTTTTTGTGAAGGCTGTGAGAGTGCTCAGTCTTGGTTGCTGTATCCAATTGGAGAGTGTGATCCCCTTCCCTTCACCTTTGAGTTTAAGCCACTGGAATGAACGAGCTTGCACCAAGTCAAATAGTTTCGCTTCGTCCAAGTGTTTGTTCTGGAATATTACCTCATTTCTTACCAGCCACATTGTCCAAGTGATTGCAAACCATATAATATCCCAGCCTATTTTAACTGTTGTGTTGCTGAAAAGGTCTTTGTGCTGGTTAAAAGCATCCCAACATGTTCCAGGCATTACATGTTCAACTCCCCACCATCGAAAATATTTTGACCAAAGATTAAAGGCTGTTTTGCAGTGTAGAAATAGGTGGTTTGTGTCTTCAACAACAGTAGTGCAAAAGACACAGAGGGGTCCATCTTGAAAGTTAGACATCCCTCGTTTTGACAGGTTAAGTTTGGAAGGAATGCAATTTTGAATTAATTTCCAAGTAAAAGCACATACTTTAGAGGGGATGTTACCATTCTATATCTTGGAGTAGATGCTGGGATCTTCAAAAGCTTACTTTTATATCATAAATTAAAATAATACTCGATGAGTTTTCATATCATGAAAGTTATCTATAAATGAGCCTACACTAAATGTTTGAACTATTTCATTTTCAATATAAACAATTAAAGAGTTTGAAAAGAATTCATCTTTTATTTTGCTACGAAATTTTGTTTTCACAATTTTCATGATAGAAAATGCTCTTCTGGTATTGCTGTAGAAACTGAAAGAGTAAATACCAACGTAATTAACTTGTAAATGAGACTGTAGACCTTTAATTTTCTTGTCTCCACAAGCCATTAACATAGTTCAGAAATATTTGACAAATTTTGAAAACTCTGATCACAATTTGTTTCAATCTCATAATGTTGAAGCTCTTATGTCAAATGAAGTTTCTCCATCTCTAAAAAATCCTGAGAATAATATTTTTTACAAGCTCACAAATATGATCAATATTGAAACTCTTGTATTCATTTTTATGATCTAAAACATCACTAAGAGTTAATAGTTCCATTGCATTCTCATTAAACCTACAATTCAATTTTTGCAATTGGAAATCTATTACAGTATTAAAAATATTTATTCGATAAGGGAAATGATTGGTACACTTACCAGTTCAACATCACATAAATTTCAAAAACACACAAGGTTTGATACAGTTATATTAGAAAACAAACTTTCAGCCCAATTCCGAGGCTTGAATCTCAACACTGCCTCTGTGACTTCATCTAAAATCTGACAAGATCCACATAACCAGTGTATGTCTTTGCATCTAGTTCCTAGATTTAGGTAAATTGTCCTGGTCTAGTCACTCATCGACAGAAAGGAAATGAGAGTGTGAAAAATGTAGAATATTCTGAATAAATTTTAGGTCATAAATATCTGAAAGACTACAAGGTGTATAAAATTCAAATCATTAGACTATGCAAATATACTGATAAAATAACAATAAATAAAATATCTCCTTGGCTACTGAATACCGTTCTTGTTTGATTGCTTGATAGTTGATGGACATCTACATCTCTTCCATTTGTGTCATCACATCTTTCTCCCTTGATAATGGGGAGAAAATGCTTTGGAGATAATCAAGCCGATTCTTATTCCACCAATCTGATTTATGCCAATTCAATGCTTCCCACCACTTACTTTCTCCTCTTATCACTACCAAATCTCCACTTGACATTTCCCTTGTACTAAGACACTCAAGCTTTGGGCAATTGTAAAATCCTATTTTTTCTAGTTTTGGTGCAATTTGAAATCCGCCAGAAATGCTGACCAGTTTTGGTAGGTAAAGGAGTGATATCCTTTTTAAGCTAGGAAGATAAGGTATCAAAGGGTTAATGAATTCATTGCATCTTCCTTTTACTACACAGGTCACTTCAGGGCAATTTTTGACAACAAGTACTTCCAACTTGCCAAGAGTAGCCATCAAAGCTGGAGAGAAAATGGCACCCAATTTGGGGCACATATGAAGTGTTAGGAACTTTAAGCTAGATAAACATTGCTTCTTACAGATTGGGTTCCAAATGCTTACTAATTTCTTCAGGTAAAAGATATGCAAGTGCTGTAGATTCAAAAGTGCAGGTTCTAGAGCAGAATGTGACCTTAGAGATTCAGAATTATCTAGATCATCTTCTAACATATCAGCTGGTTCTTTGCAAGACTCTACACCATTTATGATGGTTTGGATTTCATTACATTCTGCCAATAAGCAAAATTCTAGCTGTTGCATATTCTCAATCCCAAAATCGCTCAAACTTCTAGCAGTGGCATGACAGTCCAAGTAGAATGCTGTTGTAGATTTAAGTACGCTTTTCATTTCCCTCGGGATATCCTTTCCCTTAACAAACTTTAAGCATTTGTCCCATTCTTGAAAATGAGCCTTAACTTCTTTTGGTACTCGAGAGATGCTGCGCTGTTTATGTTGGCCAACAGTAAACTTGAACCCACGCAAGGGATAATAACTGAGTGATGTGCTACCTATTCTGCGTTTTCCCAAACTCTCAATATTAGGCAGGTACAAGATTAGGCACCCCAATGTTTTCAAGTTGCAGGTTTCCTCTACAACAGCTTCAACGACTGCATTCCAACGCTCATCGTCAGGATTGGCATCAATGCTTAATTCAGTCAGCTGAGAGAGAGCTGATATTGTCCCCGTATGAACTAGTGCAGTTTGCTGTAATCCCTTTCCACAATTCAAATATCCATAAAATGATACTCTCAAATATTTTAATTTGGACAACTTCCTGATCTCTTGTGGCAGGCCTAGAATTTCAGTTTCACTGAGATCAAGCTCCTCAAGATTCAGCAGTTCTCCAACTTGAGGGGAGAGTTCCATGAAGAGATCACAGCATTTTAGAATGAGCTTCTGAAGTGCAACCAAGTTGGGAAGAGATTCTGGTAAGGACTTGATAGTAGTGTGGGACAAATCTAATTCTCGGAGGAGAGACGGATGGACATAGAATAATGTTGAAGGGAGAGTAATTGACATCAAGCGGGAGGAAAAAGACTCTGGCATGAGTAGTCCTGGCTGAGGTAGCGGAGAAAATGTATTATCCGTGACCTCCCATGCATCCTGTAGGTGTGAAATCGTGTTCTTGCTTGAATAATTCCCCTCTTTTTTGGGGATTGAGCTTTGTGATTCTGATGGGCCATTCGCACCTACTTCCGTGGGCCCTCTGATGGGGTTGACCTGACCGGAGTTTTCTTCTGCTTGTGTTTTTATGGCTGGAGTGGGTTGGCCCCCGTGATTGCTCTGGCACTTTCCTTTGTAGAAGGCTTTGTGGAAGACGAAACTGTCCAACCTGCAACCATAAAAGCACGAGGAGAAGGAAAACAAAAGAAGCAAATTATCGAAGGGGGCAGTATGAAGTATGAACAGTGCTGCACCTGCTTTTGTCTTTTCTTTCTTTTTCTTCTCTTAGGATGAAAGGCATTGTAGATGTAACAATTAAAAAGTTTCCTCATAATTCACGGATAAAATGTAAAGGCACCTTTTTTGGGAACAAGGTGAGTTTTTGGGGGAAAAGGGTGGGGAATGTTTCAAAGCATCTAAGCACGATCTTAATCTGTTCTATTTTTTCAGGACTTTAAAGATAAGAGTTAGGAGCTTTTCAATTTTGAGTAAATACCAAATTTAGTCCTTCATCTTTATCATAAATATCATAAACATTGAATATTATTAATATAATCACGGCACGGCAAAACCCTTTTTAAGCCCCTCAAGTTATCCCTTTTTAGCAAATGAGCCACTGAACAAAAAACAAGCAATTAAGCCCTTCAACTGTAAAATTACAGCAAATTAGCCCTTTAGTTGACAGTTACTGTTTCACTCAGCTGATGTGGCGGACGGCAGCGACGACAACAGTACATTCTTCTCACGTGCCAGTAAAAAGAAATAGTTAATTGTAATTTAATCCTCAAATAGTTAAATTTCAAATAAATATAGTCCCTTTACTTTAAGTATTTTACTTAGAAATAAGAAGTAAAATCTAAAGTTG